TATATATATGTATATATATATATATATATATATATGAATATATGTATATGAATATATGTATATATATGTGTATAAATATGTATATATATATATATAATAAAACTGCAGTTGTTAAAATAAACGCCGGACACTTTGACATAATTTCAGACATATATATTTGTTTCGCCTCCACTCAATTTATCTTACATTATATATATGTATATATATATATATATATATATATGAATATATGTATATGAATATATGTATATATATGTGTATAAATATGTATATATATATATATAATAAAACTGCAGTTGTTAAAATAAACGCCGGACACTTTGACATAATTTCAGACATATATATTTATTTAACGAAATTTTCAGCAGCACCTGAAACTTTCCTCAGCGTAAGAATGTCTGAAGTTAATGATGACAGTACAGTAGTCCAATGTAGGGCTTACTGTTGTATAGATTCTTATTTTTTCCCGTTTAATACTTATATTTATACATAAAACATTACCTCAAGACAACATATAGTTTATCTTTTTACGTATATTTTTTCTTATAATTATAAAAACTATTACTTAGGAGATCATGTCCTGTCGTTTAATAAACATATCATTGATAGCACGTGCGTGCGTCGGGTACTAGTGTTGTATCCGCATTGTGACGGCAGAATGCGTCTGAATAGACAGCAAAAAATCTATACACATTATTATATTATCATGTTATTAATATAACGTCTCCTGACATCACATCTTATTCTGGTCTTGTAGAATATTCAGCACAATGAGGAATATTGGCGATACTGTGATTGTTATAAATGTGGTAAGGACCTTCTTTTCCTTTCTTCTAACTAATACATTATATTCCTATATACATACAATACTATGCCTACAATTCTGAGTTCCCATCCTCTGAATTTGGTGTGTCGCTGCAGCCTTATAGAGAGTGCGTTGACCTAAACGCATTTACGCCTACAGAAGCGTTGCTTACGTTTGGTCAACGCGTTGGTTTAATAAATAGCTCTAGTGTGAGCCAAGCCTTAATAATGAACATGCGGGGTGTAAACCTTAAGAATGGACCAATCAGAACGTATTATTTTTGTGGCCGGGAATGCGCACATGTCCCACAAATACTTAAGCTTACGTACGTTAGTGCTGTCGTTTTTTGGGACCGTCGAATGGGGCGCAAGCAAGCAAGTTTCAAGTCTCAAACAAGCCGACCTTGTCAACAGCTTGTCGACAGCTTGTGTATAGACTGTAAATCAAATCTTAAATTAACAAACTTAGCACTACAATTAACACTAAAATAACATTGGCAGCCACGATGTACAATCACGAAATTCCTAAAATAGTGCAGTGTGGGTTAAGTGACTCAAAGTTTGTAATCCCAATCATTAAATTTAATCCACAATTAACCTGTGTTTATATTACTTTCAGATTATGTTACTGATTGTTAGTCTAGTCCCGTTTTTCGTAAGTTTATGGAGTTTTCCAATATTTTTTCATTCTATGTATCGACTAATTGTTGCTTAGTTTTTTCTCTTTGAGATCAAACTCCATCATTTATTCTCCATTAAAATCGCGTAACATAATACTTTTCTGCCTTTGTTACTTTCTGAAAAGATGACTAATTTCATTTTGATACTGATGCTCTTAATCATCGTCGTGACATGTCATCTACTACATGTCGCCTTATTTGATTGGATTTTAGAGGGGTGCCTCGGACTTGGATCACTATGTGGAGAACAAATTATCACGTGATTTCATCAGTCGAGATGTTCATTTCCGAGCATGGAGCTTCTTGAAGACCAACGATTATGATTCATAGGCTAGCTTATTATATCATTAATGATAAGCGTATGTCGTTTTATGCTAGCGAATATCAACATCAACAAGGACCTGGATAAAGCTAAGTACTGCAAGTAAAGATTCGAGTTAATCGTATCAAGACACTGATCAAGGCATTCAAAACGGAAGCCAATTTGCGAACCACGTCAGTTCAATTTTTTTTGGTCTAGTAATCGATCATGGCAGTTGCCGTATTTGCATTCCAAGTTGTAAATACTGTATTTTTGCATAAAATATTAGTATACTTTCGGCCTACGGGACTCCAACAAAGCTGCCAAGGTTATTTCATGCATTCGAAGAATCCGATAAGAGTATCTGATACAAAAAGATCAAATCCCCGAGCTTAACATCTTGCCCATAGAACATTACCATCTTAGAACGCTAAGCCAATCTTAATGTTTTGTTTCAGTCAACACTTCTAGGCGAATTTCCGATGGAACCTTTAGCGATTGTACTCCAAGGAAGCTGTTTCCTAATCATTGTCATCCTTGAGGTGAGTTTAATACAGTGATTTGCGGATTATTATTATGTTTTTGGCCTTTGTTCCGACATTCATGATACATTGTGTGTGTGATAATTTGTCAAAAAAAAAAATGAAAATAAACGAGGCTATACGTGATGGACTGTACACTACAATAACATACAGTTATGTAATTAGTAGTGACTAGTCGAATCATGGTAGAATGTAGGTGGTAAATTTTGATGGAACTGCTATCACAAACCAACCGGCATATTGACGCTTGGTGGCGCTATAGCCGCCTCCTACCTTACTGTTACAGATCCCTCCCTTAAAAAGTGCCTTCTGGTAAGCTATCATGATGTTATAAAACAGCTTTCTCCTTATACTTTGCAGAGTGAAAACAAAACTGTGTTAAAAAACATGGAAAGTTGATTATGTTTGTGTTGAATTGCCATTTTAGTGCATAAGTTTTTTGTTTTTTGTTTTTTTTTGTAGATGTAGATTTGGTTACTGTATTGTCTTTTTGGCTTATTGCCATTTTGTCTGCTTCATTTTAGCATCAAGTGACCTAACTCGCGATAACATTTGTTTCTTATCGACAACAGTGATTACTCATAACAAAACCCTGATTTTAGTACGAAAACATTTTTTTTCATTAATTTAATTTTCTTCATGCGTGGGTTTGTTTATAATTTTATATTTACAGGCACTTATACTCGTTGTAGCTTTCAGTAGGCCTAAAATGATCGAGTCGGAGTTTTTAACGTCCACTGAAAAGGTGAGTTTAAAATACTCAGGAATTCAGTGAAATATCCCTAGATACATATATTATGCATCAAATACGCAGTTCTTCGTTTGTGTATTTGTTTATGTATTGCTAAACATAGAGACGCACTTCATAAAACTTTTGGTAAACTTGGGTGACGGTGAAACCCATGGATGAACCCTTCTCAAAGAAATTAATAAATCTGTTTGTTTCTTCATCCAACTAGCCAACCATTCAAGTAAGATATTGTATTATGTTTACATTGCAAGCAGCGTGTGCTATTCTAGCCATCAGTGTAGCTACCGCATCCCCAGAAACGGTAAGTTTGCGTTTGAAATTTGTATAATAAAGGGTTTAATAGTTGCATAGGGCTATCTGCTGCATTGTATGTAGATTTATTGAAACACAAGCATCCTAGTCCAGTCAATCTACGACCAAAAAAAACTCATCCCGGAACAAATTGAAATAGTAATGAAAATAATTGTTTTCAACTCAGAATTTATTGAGAAATAACATATTAAAAATATATTCAATTTAAGGGGTCAAATTTGACCAAAAATGGCAAATTTTACACGCTTTTACCCTAAAATGAGATTCGAAAATTATCAAAAAAAACTAGAATTTTTTAATGATTTTTTTGACTAAATTTAATAATACATGATATAAGAAGCAAAAGGGAAAGAAAAATGAAAGGATTTGGGATGAATAGGAAAGTAACAGGCCTTGAAATGATTCCTATTACCAAAGCATTGTAATAATAACATTTATTGATAATCATCAAACCAATCATTTGAACTTAATTAATTTTTATTCTTCTCTGTTGTTGTTAAGCGCCTCAAGGTTGTGTCAACGTGAGGCGTTATATAAATCCAGAATTATTATTATTATTATATATTAAATAAATACGAAAAATACTGAGCTATCAACCTTTTCGTCTGATACTTTCTCGAAAACTGACCACATACAAAATATTCAATTTTAATATATGGGCCTAGGTATCATACGAAAGGTATTAAAATTATCCATCGAATGATGTGTATGATGATGTTAATTTGTTGACCCAAATCATACCAAAAAACTTGGCTAAATTTAAAAATCCATGTTTTATTTATAAACAAAATACTAAGGTAAAACACTTTTTGTGTGATACATTGTCGAAAACTGGTGAATTCTCATTACCGGTCCTTGTCTTACACGGAATGGGCTGTTGCCACGCTGAATTTTGGATTGTAGTGCGAAATTTGACCAAAAAACAAATTTTACACGTTTTTACCCAAAAATGGTATTTTGAAGTTAGTCCGTGGAAGAAAAATACTAAGCTCACAAACTTTTCGTATGATAGTTTCACAAAAATTGACCACATGCAAAATAAAACGCAATAAAAATTTCAGACATTATCTATTTTGTATTTCGGAGTTTTAGTATGTCAAAGGTTTTTCTCAAAATCACCGATGCGTGACTGTCGTAAATCAGTGGCGTACGCTAATCTGGGGTCTGTTGCTGGATTACCGTACGCCAGTGATTGCGCGATAATACTGGCGTTCGCTACGCCGCGCACAAGTTCACACCACTCGATTAACGTTACGCTAGCGTAAGTCGTTGTGTCTGAACATAGCCTAAGGCTACGTTCAGACCTGTGAGATACGCCAGGCGTATCTAACGCCAGGCGTACGTTAATCCATGGTGTAACTAGCGAGATGTCCAGACTGGGCGATTAATGAACGCTAGCGTAAGTATTCGCGCGAAATATTCGTATTCGTAATTCGCGCATTTTATTTTCTGTTTACATCTAGGTTTATTTTGATTGGTCAAATCTTGGCTGAGTTCAAAATCACCGATGCGTGACTGTCGTAAATCAGTGGCGTACGCTAATCTGGGGTCTGTTACTGGATTACCGTACGCCAGTGATTGCGCGATAATACTGGCGTTCGCTACGCCGCGCGCAAGTTCACACCACTCGATTAACGTTACGCTAGCGTAAGTCGTTGTGTCTGAACATAGCCTTAACCATAGAGATATAATAATATCTATAGCTCTATGGTCTGAACATAGCCAGCCTCAGCTATAATATATATAAGAATACTAGAGGTATAATAAGAATACTAGAGCGCTAACCGCAATGTATTCGATGTTCGAAATACGCAGAGCTGTGTGTACCATCCAAGATGGCTGTCAAAGATTTAGCCAATCAAATTTCGTTAAGCGCCATCGTTTGCAAATGCGCCCTCAATTTACTCAGAAAGTTCAGTACAGCTCATGTCTGAACGGATCGTCATTAAAACGATCCGTTTCGTGCGCGTCGTTGCGTTCTCCATAGAATCGCGTAGGCCGACGACGGTCGGGCGCAGTGAGTGGCCGACTTTAGTAAAATATTTCTTGGTAGCCAGACATCAAGTCTTACTCGGTTTACCCAATCCCATTAAAATATTACTAGCATCACCACTAACATTATCGTTATTTAATATACAAAAACAAAAACATTGTAATATATACATTGGCTAATATTTCTATGTTTAAATCATTTTAAAAATGTATTATAGGGAAATAAAATGTATTAGCACCGCTATTTATTTTATAGTGGTCTTTAATTGCAGGGGAAAGTGTTCAGTTGGTCCACTAAAAATATAGTCTTTGGTGTATAAATAGAGGGAGTCTTTAATTGGAGGGAACAGACAATGATAAATTATACCGTATGCATTCCAACGGGGCCGCAGAAAAGTAGTCTTTACTTGGAGGTAAAACGGAGACCAGTATATTTATTCATATTTTATATAAACATCACATTTGTTTTTTTTCTTTTTCAGTCATGGGCGTTTCTTGTTCTCATGCTGTTCTGCGGACTGCTCTGTGATATCATCATTGCAATTTGTTCCTGTTTTCGAAGGCGTACGATATCAGTTATAGTATTTGATCGTCCACACACCCCCACGCACCCACAGATTTGTTAATGAAATATTCGTATTATATATTATTATTATTATTATTATTATTATTATTATTATTATTATTATTATTATTATTATTATTGTTATTATTATTATTATTATTGTTATTATTATTATTATTATTATTATTATTGTTATTATTATTATGAATGAACCAGCAACCACGAAAGCCAATCATATTGAATACTGCCCTCATCGACCCACAAGTCGTGAATAATACAATAATATACAGTAGGTCTATAATTATAGGCCTAGGCAAATAATTATCATTATTAACAATTGACGTTTAAGAAAATAGGCCTATAATATTTTATTCTCAAGATGTATAAAAAAACATGATTAATTAATATAATATGTTGATTCAGCTTCCTTTCTTTTGTTATCTTCAGCTAACGGATTTGACCATGCGTACCAATCGTGTATATCATATTTAGTTACTAAACGAATTAGGGAACATCTCCCAAAAGAGCGCGTGCATAGTAAGTAAGATCATTTTTTAAAAATTTATTTATAATAATATGGACCTTTGTCTGAAATCAAAGATTTAATCGAATTTAATTGAATACCAATAACGGTAAATCTTCACATCCAGATTAACTATTTGCATTATACCGCCCTCTTTGGACACGGCGCTAAATTTTGAAATGTTAATATTTGTATCTATTTTTATAAAGCTTACCAATAACCAGGGGTGGATACGAAATTTTTTGTTAGGAGGACAGATGAGGCTGAACATTTCCAATGTTTTGAGCCACTTGTAATGATCTTTTCAGAATTAAAATACTTAAATTTCTTTTAAATTGAATGAAATATCTAAGATTAAATTCAGGTCGAAATATTAAAGGAATGATCCTCTCATAATATATTGCAAGTGAGTAATAAACTAATACTTCGATATGTCTTACTAACAGTTTTAATTTCGGCCTACTTACTGGGCTACTATTTCATAGTGATATAGCCTATTTAGCCCCTCTACATTCGACCCCGATGACACTAATTGTTGCACAAAAATTCAACTGGAATACAAATTAAACAGTTCTGTACTACTGTATGTTGTTTACTACAAAATGTATCGTCTCGTTTTAGATTTTTCTGACGGCGTGTTTGCCATCGTTGCTACGCTCATCATTCTTGACGTCACGTGAGTGTTTCAGTGCATATAAATCACAGCATATCGCATTATATACTTACACATTTATTGTTATTATTATTATTATTATTTTTATCAAAATTGTTGTTGCTGCTGCTGTTGTCGTTCCAGTGGTCATCGGAGCCGGCATCGTCATCAAAAGAACCATCAAGATATTAAATCATCATTATCATTGTCATACCATTATCATTATCATCATTATCAATATAATCATCATAGTCATAGTCATCATCATCAGCAGCAGCAGTATTACAAGAATCATCGGCGCTGGTTCGAGACCCTCCTCGCTTAAAGTTCGGTTGGTAATAAGAACTTAAAGTAGGCTAGTGTGCACATCAAAGAACCATTCGCACCTTTCGGCATAAGGCCAAAAAAAATTGTGTTGGCCACGTTTTGGGAAAATAAAAAAAATGGGTAGGTCGGTAGGAAAAGTTCTTTTTTTCCCTTTTTTTTAAACCAATAATACTGTCGCAAGATAAGCCTATTCCAGTCTTTTTAGCTCATTAAAAATATTTCATTACTGTTTATTGGTCTTGTCGTCATCGTTGTCATCATCATCTTCATCATCATTCTTATCATTATCATATTTGTTGTTATCTTTATTCAATTTCTATTAATTTTGCAGGACCAGTGTTGTGCCTAGCTCTGAGTCATTAACAGCCGACCTGAGGACAACACTCAAGGGCGATTCTGAATTGCTATTATCATATGCTGCAACTTACATAACTATAGGTAAGACAGCTTCATTAATTCAATGTCATCAACACCGTCTTCCTGACCATCATTGAATCACTATAACCAATCATTACCACTTATTTTTAAATAAATTTACTATTTATATATTTATGACGGTGGCACTACAACCTTGGACCAGACACCTAGGGTGATTTGTTCGAGTACATGCATTAGCTTCGCTCGTTCTTCTCAAGAAGTATCACTGTATTAGCTTTTGTAGTGAAAGAAAGAGTAAATGATAGGGGAAGAAATATCGAAAACAAAAATCAAGACGACGAAGACGATAGCAAAGAGTGACAGAACAAAATAAAAAAAAAAAAGAAAGGTTAAAAATAACAAAATTTAATTCGAGTAATATTTAGTTCCCAAGATTATTCAAATATTATTTTGAGAACCATCCCTTATAATTTTTTGGTCGAATAATGGGGCTTTATTAGTTCGTTGTCTGTTCGTTCTTTTTTGTAATTTTGCAACCGGCGCAATGAATTTGAAGGCATGTATGTCTATGTTTGTGTTATTTGGTTAAATTTGTACCGTAGCCTTTGTATTCTTTTTTTTTCAGGGATGATTTGGTATATCCACTACACAATATTTAACCACGCAAGTATATATTAAATTAAATGTGCATAATGTTCTATAGTGAATGTACTCAGTTCTTCACAGATCTTTGATGTGTAAGGCCTATTAAATGTAAAGACGACGCATTAGAATGCCGTAATTAAAATCAATATTAAACGATGCAGCGTCATTACCATCATCATCATAATCATCGTCACTGTCACCGTCATCATGTGTTCATTTGGGACCTTTTGGCTTCTCATCAATACTGTTTGGTTCCTATTTACAGAAATATCATTGCACCATTTCATTATACCTCAAATAAACACCATATCAATGTTTTTCTGGGGTTTTTTTTACAGTTAGTGGTATCGGTCTCTCGTGGAATGAATATCTTTAACAAACTGGTAAGAGAAATAATAATTACATGTTTGTATAATTATGACGGTATGGGATAATAGATATTATTAGGCCTGTTGTTATTGTTATTATTATCATGAATGTCACCTTCATCATCATCTTCATCAACATCTGTTCATCATCATTGTTATTAAATTAATATTTAAATTATTGTGATAATATGGTGGTGATACCACGATCAATATCGTCGTAAAATATTTTAATGTCAATAACGACTGAAAATATTAAATCGCGTCTAATTTATAACTATTTCTATAACTAATATGAAAATTGTTAATTTGTTTAATAAACAAAAGAACACAAAGATTGGTAGAGAGTATAACGGAAGGCAGTGTATACAAAAATCATAATAATTTCTTATAAATATAAACTAGCGTAGTTGATATTGGTGCTGGTTTGGAATTCGATGTGTTGATGTTTTAAACCTGAATAAATAAATAAATGAATAAATAAAAATAGAAGGCTAACACACAAAAAGAAGAAAAGGTAATAAAAAGACGACCTAAAATGGTACAAAGACTTTGATTGATTAGTGTATCGATTGATCTTTGGTAAATTCCTCCGGTGCAGATTCTCGTAACCTTCAGACTAAAGTAAACTATTTATTTATTTTTACAACAAAGGCGTTAAGTACGGAAATCTTACCTGTCATTTGTTAATGCAAGGAATGTCTAATTTCGATATTGGTATGTATAGATCCTGTCGTGGGAGACCTGTAGTGTACTGGTCATAGCAACAAGTTTATTAATAAGCGTGGGAATAGCTCTGTGCACCAATAGAAAGAAGGCTTTGTTTTGGTTCGTTTATTATCGCCAAAAAACAAGATTGATGATTGGTCGATATATGACAGTACCTGACATTTTATTCAATACTTATTAATTGTCGCGCTCATGAGTATAATTGATAAGCCAGGTTTTGTCATTATAGGCCTATACATGCCAACAATTTCAATTCAATTCGTCCTTGATAAGTACAATAGAGATGTATTGCAATGTGTAAAAGATGCTTGTCTTCCGATCCCAGGGCCCTGGGTTCAAATTTTCTGACAGCACTGGAATTTCTCACGACCTAAAAATTCTGCACTTTCTAAACTTTTACAAATTTACATCATTGCAAATCATTATTTTCATTTATTTAGAGGGATCTGAATATCAGCGTACCTCCTAGGATATGTGGGTCACCTTCTAGAAATATGGTATAAAAATATGCAGCCCTTATATAGATTAAATGCCTATATGTATATAGGTACTGACAAAGGAATGGCTGTGTAAAACCATATCTATCCCCGGTTCGTCATATCCTCGCTTTCGGTATTCGTGCTTTCAGCAGCAGCCTGTTTAAAACTTGATAACGAATTATACGAATTGAGAGCGCACGGCAGACAGTCTTGTCTGAGCGCTTGAAAAGAAACAGGACTTGCGAATTATGGTATCTCCTGCATACTTTGACAGTCCAGTTAATGATATCATTTTTATATCATGGATTTACTCTGAGTTTGAATGGGGATCGATTGCGAAAGTCTTATGACTTCAGGTTATGCTCAATTTAACTCATTTAAACACTATAATTGTCAAATATTGCTTTAACATTTTAATCTAGCAAATTCATCAATATAATTTTGTACCAATTTTTGTTTATGTTTTATTATATTTTCAGACCTTGTTGTGCGTTGGGATGTACCCGTTCAACTTTAAGCTCGTCTCTCTTTATAGACATAGTGTAAGTTATTTTGCTTTCAATTTACCAGAACCCCTATGGAAACAAGCTTCCGAGCTTACAGGGTCATTCTCTTGCTCTCAATTTTTTTCTTTTCTGTAACTGAATTTGTATTTTGTAATGTGGTTACAATCCCTATGACGCAATTTCCATCGTGTGTTATTGTGAACAAGACTACAGTGATAGTCGAAATCTTAAAACGTAAGTTCTTTTGTTTTCTGCTTTATCCAGAGATATAAACTATTAATTGATATTTATTATTATTATTATTATTAGTCTTATTATTATTATTATTATTAGGCCTATTATTATTATTATTATTATTATTATTATTATTATTATTATTATTATTATTATTATTCGTTATTGCCATATTGAGTTGTCCTAAACAAGAAATTGGCATTAAAACATGTTCTATGACCCAAATCATTGAACTTTCATTCCTTTTCTTTTGTATTTTCAGACATTTGGAAGAAATGAAAACGTAGAGATGTGTATAAGAGACAGATATAATTCCCAATAATGTCATGATGTCGGCTAACCCTACGATGGAAATACGGCACTCAACATTTTAACGTATTATTTTTGTTCATAGTATAAAGAAACTCGTTAACAAATTTTTTGGGTATTTCCCGTTCAAATATCCATTCGCTTCAATAACTATTATTGTATTGGCATTCCTAGAATGCATGCTTCAGAGGGCGCACTATAAGCTGGCAATTTGAATGATAGCAAACATGATGTTTAATGTAGGCGTAGGGCTACTTATCGTCTTTGAAGTGTTTATACATTTTCACCTCACAAATAAGCCACAGAAATCCTGGATGTGTTTAAACTATGGAGCGAAGGACATGTCCTACCGATGTTGCCCTACATTTACTTTTGCACGTCACTGTGCTATATTAATCAAACAATTTCATAAACCATATTAATATCATCATCGTTAGGTCCTTGCCATTCTTTGTAATATAGGCCCTATTCAAAGATTTGTGATTCACTGGAGTTGGGCCAATTAGAGCTTACGTTTGCGATAAAACTATGGTGCGCAAAGTTGCGTAAACCATTCGAAAAACGCCGATTGCGCAAAATTAGTTCCTGCATTATATCCGTTAATTGTATAGGTGTGAAGGTATTTTATTCAGCACCCTGACTTGACATTTTACTGATATTGAAAGTAATGTGATCGATTTTGTTAACAATACCAACTTAATTTTCTGCATTCCTACCATTGCTCGATACCTACAAGATACTTTATGTAAACGTTTTCAAAACAGAAACTTTAAATTCCAGTTGATAGAAAATTGGTAGGCCTACTATGGGTTTTAATAAACTACCTTGCGGATTGAAGCTTATTAGAAATACGCATGCGTGTAATCCAGAATCGCGTATTTAGCTCATTATAAATCTCATTTGCATTCTAAGTATTGTATTGACAATCGATGTGGAATGTTCAATCCCCTTGTGTACATAGAACATCATTTACTTACATTCCAAAGGTGAATTAAATAGAATTAAAACACATTGTCCGTTGAATATACATCCGTAGCTGCTATACCCCCACGCGTGGCTTATATGAAATAACTAAAGCAAATGAGAGTATTGTGTGGTGTCGAACTGAATAGTCCTCGCTACTATACCAAACTTTTGACAAAAAGACTGCGGCGGCAGGGTCATATGAATATAGGCTTAATACTTTTCTTATTTTCCGAGCTATTCCGTAGACGCTATACCCCCACGCGTGGCTTATATGCAATCACTAAAGCAGATGAGAGTATTGTGCAGTGCCGGGCTGAATAGCCCTAAGTCCTACTATACTAACATTTTGACAAAAAGACTGCGGTGGTAGTGTCATATGGTTCTAGGCCTATACTGTACTTTTCTTATTTTCTGAGATATCCAAGGTTGAAACCATCTATTTTTCGTAGAATAAAACCACATACTATTTTTAACTATTTTTAAATTGTTGAAACTGTACAATCATTTAAGTCACAATAGTGCACCTTTAATGCCGTATTTGATTTGCAGTGGGACTATCAATTGGGAAAAATGCAGACATATATTAATATTAGGCTAAAAAAAAACCGCAGGTACATAATTAGTAGCCCAATGAGATACATTTAATGATTCTCAACGAGAATGGAAGAGAAAAACATGAAACGATCAGGATCTATATAGACATGCATTTTCTAACGTTAAAAGTAACGCCTAACTATTTCCACATACGAATATTTCAAATTAATGTTAATCGCCAATTATTTCGGTGTTTAGCTAAGAATTAATATATCCGTTACCTTTTGTTGTTATTTTCCGGTGCGGTGGGTTAGTAGGGTGGAGGAGTTAACTTTCTCTATAATTTCCTTATTAGAAATTTAATTATAACCAGTTTGGCTAATATTATTTTAGGCGATGTAGGTTACTATAGTGGGATTGAAACTTATAGCATGTAATCGGTTATATCAACGTTTCATCACATAGACTTTCAAAAGTGATCCCATATAATTGGCTTAGATTTTTTTTTTAAAGTGATCGCTGCTTTTTATCCGTGAAATAGTTTGTTTATTGAGGAAATTGCATACGTTCATCCGAATTAATGTTGTTGTTATATGCTCCGAGACATAAGCGTTAATTTAGGACTGATTGTATTTCCTTCGGTGGATTTATCCAATGGGATTTGTTATTGTCCCCTTTGAATAACGCTGAAATTTAGACACAAGGATTTAGCTAAAATGCTAACACATCGCATGGAGTAAGAAACATTTTGAACTCCTGACTAAAATTCGTCATCGGGAACATTACACAAGTTGAATATTTCCCTAATTGAAAGTTAATCTGGGCTGAACTTTTTTTTGTTTACTTTTTTCAGCTTATCTCCTAGTAAAGTAGATTAATTGTACCATGGAGGAAATCTTAATATATTTCCTCCATGATTGTACGATGATTAAAACTGTGAGTAGCCTATATTCTGTAGGTCTCTGTAGTCTAACGGCATGATATTCGCCTTGACAGCGAGAGGAAGTTGCAGGCTCAAATTCCCCCAGGTACACTTTAAAGTTCCTTTATTTCAGTTGAATGAAACAAACAGCGCATTGGCTGAGTGGTTAGTAGGGGCGCTGCAACCTTACTTCAGTCATAATATCGGCGCTGGGTTCTGGTGGTACAAGTCTTTTCAGGTAAGGTCTATAAACCGTAGGCCCAGTGTACCGTAGACAATGGCTCGTGTGCACTATAAAGAACCCAGTACATCATTCGAGACAAGTAGGTGGATACCCCGGTGTACTTGATCAGACAGCTCCTGTTTGCTTCTACCGGGTTACCGGGTAGCACAGACACGAAGGGACCCTTAGGAGCGAAGAAAGAGTTCCTGTCCGCATATCAAGCGCGCTGAGCATCATATGTTAGGTGGATATGGCGCTATATAAAACTACACTATTATTATTATTAATTAGCAGCAGACGTATATATAGAAACAAATAGATAAATAATTACAGTGCTGAAATAGGAACAAGTTGTAATAATCGTATCAATCGTAGCTCATCATCGCAGTAAATTTAGCGAAAAAAATGATTTTTTTTTTTTTTTTTTTTTTTTTTTTTTTTTAATGATTTTTTTTTTTTTTTTTTTTTTTTTTTTTACATTTTTTTTTCATTGACTTATATAACCTCCTTTAAAGAATTGAGGTATTAGGGTATTTAAAAATAAATGCTCTCCGCCGGGATAATAAAACAGATTATAGAGTCCCAGTAGTTTATTGAATTTTAATTTGGGGATTTCCAGAAAATGTATCTGTAGTGCTTTTGCATGTACCGACTGCGATTTTTTTCCGTACGAAGCATTTGCATGACACTCCACTCGGGTCGCGTACCGACTACACAAGGACAAGTTTAGAATAATTGATGGAACGCCAAAAGAGCAATAATTAAACACACACAACTCGAATTTAAAACACTCTAGGTGTTCAAACACACTCGGTAACTGAAATCCACTAAATATATTTCGCAAATGTATAGTATTAGAATAAACCTTCCCCTTTAGCGTTCCATAGTAATCGAGCGGTGAATTTAATTGTTAGCGTTCTTAACAACAGCTTAATACAGGAAATGCCGAAAGTATTCACTCAACTTTAGGTAGTTAAACAAGAGGTTGTGGGATTGGACAATGGTGGGCTTGTTGGTTTTCTATAGGCTGCATTCTTTGGCGGGCAGGAGCTTATGTGTACATGATTTATATCGAAGTTTAAGTGTTTCAGTTGATTGGCTGTGAACCGTACACCATTTGAAACTTTCCTGTTTTATCTTTAAAAAATACCTTCATTATTATTATTATTACATATCATCATCACCATCGTTGTCATAGTTATAGTTGTCGTTACTGCTATTATTGGTAATCGGAATTGACTATAGGTTGAAACCACATTTACATTTACTTCAAACTCTAACGTCAATTACCTGTTAGTTTATGGAAACCAATAAATTCCTCACAGTTATTATTGTTGCCGCTGCAGCCGTCGTTATTATTATTATTATTATTAGGCCTATTATTATTATTATTATTAGGCCTATTATTATTATTATTATTAGGCCTATTATTATTATTATTATTATTATTATTATTATTATTATTATTATTATTATTATTATTCGTTATTGCCATATTGAGTTGTCCTAAACAAGAAATTGGCATTAAAACATGTTCTATGACCCAAATCATTGAACTTTCATTCCTTTTCTTTTGTATTTTCAGACATTTGGAAGAAATGAAAACGTAGCTGTTCAAATAAGCTGTGCTCTACTGTTCCTATCAACGGTGTCGCTGCTATGTACCTGGGGAGTAGCACATGTGAACGGGTACACGCAAAAAAAAAAACCCATTTCACTACCATTGGTTTAGTTCTCATTGATTCACCAATTATAAATATAAAAGATGATGATATATATGATGTAACTAAAGATGATGATAAATATTGGAGAAATTCCCTCCGGCCTGAGAGGGTTAGCACCAGGAAAGGCCCCGCCTTGGGTTACAGGCACTTTTTACTTTATTTATATTTTATCATTTATTTATTGATTGTCTCCTCGCTTCCGGTGAGACTCCATCTGCTGCAAAAGCTCGGGCCGAAGCATTCAGCTATGAAGCTGTCTCTTATACACATCTAGATGTGTATAAGAGACAGGTGTAATAGTTTTCGGAGTCGGTGCTTAACTAACTGTACAGGTGAAATATTTTTTAATGTGCTGTTTAACATCATGTTGTAAACCCATCCAAAAACATATATTTCTCAACAATGATATCGTCCTATCAATTAACATCTCGACAAGATTTGATTGACAGATAAACCGACTAATCTGCGAGCGTCATTTAGTCACGTGATCAAAACCTTTTCTCAGACATTTTAATTTCCTTAGACAGCTGGTTGTCTACGTTAAACATACGTGAGCCTAGCCTAAGCCTTGATGTCTATGCTTGGTTATACTGTAGATACCCAGAGTTACGCGAGCAGTGCGCGTCATTGACTTGGCCTTTGCCGACAACAAGGTTGACTGAATGCGGCTTTTTCCTCTTCCTTTGGAAGCGAAATACAGAGGCTTTTACGAGAATTTTCCCGCCATGTTCCATGAAATAGATCAACAATATGAATATATGATTCATTTGCAAAATACAGAGGCTTTTACGAGAATTTCCCCACCATGTTCCATGAAATAAATTAACACTATGAATATATGATTCATTTGCCTACCCTGAATTCTCTTTCTTAAGCCGAACCTTCAAGGTGTGTCAAAAGGACTTGTGATTTATCTTTGCCAACCATTTTGTAATATGTACAATATTCTTCAAACTCTTTTATAAATTCTACTAGGAAAACATCACTAGCCCATTGAGGACAACCACTAAATTTCGAGAGCTTTATCTTAGGGAGTGATTTAGTACCAGAAGACCTGTCTCTTATACACATCTAGATGTGTATAAGAGACAGGAGTAATATTGGATATTAATCGTGTGTTTTAT